TACTCCTGCCATTTACACAAAGACTTTAGTTATTAACTTGTTAACCAAAATACCAGGTGATGATGCTTATCATACAAAATCATTATCTGGTCGAACCAAAAAAATTAAAAATAACAATAGGACTACTTCTTGAAGAAAAGGATAACATGAGTGACAAAAGAACTCCTTATTTTCTTAGTGTCCCCCAAAAGACATAACTAATAGGTCTGTTTCATTCATTCAATGACACAGACATAGCATACCTAAGCCATGTTTGTTCTGGGCAGGGGGAATACAGCAGTGAGAAGGTAAACCAGGCCCCTGCCCTTGTGCAATGCTCACTCATGTAGTAGAAGCTAATTGTTGATGTTGGTAAATGAAAAGAGTTTCTGTCTATTAAAGGACTGAGAAATAAAGATTACGTAGGAATGCGGTGGAATAGTGCATGGGATTTCTTTAAAGAAGCCTCTTTAGACATCTTGGAGACAGGAGAGGAGTATGCTTTGGAGTAAGTGCAAGAAGGATGATGAGGAGCTTGGAGTTGAGGAATAGGGGGAACGTTGTATGATTTATACTTTCACTTATAAGGGTTGGTATTTAAGGAAAGCCCTGAAGACATGGCTTATTAGACAGCAGTTGAAATATTCAAAGATTTTAGGTTCCCGTGTTGGAGAAGTAACAACAACAGAGCATGAAGGGTTCTTCACGTTTCCTTCAACCCAAATACTATTTTAAGTTGTATTTCCAAAGAGCATAGGTTAATGATGTATGTTTACAAATAATTTAATCAAGCTGTTCTTCAGATGAACTTCTTTGACCACCAACTTGGCTTGTGACCTAAATCTTACATATTTGCCCAAGGAGTAGTATTCATTGATTAGTTCCCATGTGCCATTTCCCCTCAGATACTCAGGAAATCAGGGATAGTATCCTTGACCCCAGAGACCCACAGTTGCAAGGAAAGGAATGTTGGCTGTACTAAATCAACCAGCCATAACAGTGTGGTGAAGGCTGTGTTGCCGATGATTGCTGAGTCCATGAGAGTGAAGAGGCAGAAGACATTCTAAAAGAGCAAATGATGTTCGGGTCCCCTCGGTGAAGTCAGTGTTTACAAGGCAGAGGAATGGAAAAGAAGGAAGACACCTCTAGAACGCGAAATAGCCCGGGCAGGTGGACAGTCACAGTGTGTATAAGCAGTTATGTATGCCATCCAGGACTATTGGACAGCACTCAGCCGAGGAAGCAGGTGAAGCTGGAATTTTGTTTTATGCTTTGCCAAGGAATTTGGGGTTTATGCTGGGGATAATGTGAACAAGTGAAAGATTGTAAGCTGAAAGGCTGTGAAAAGTTTGTTTCAGAAAGGTCACTATGGTGGCAGGAGTAAGGATTGGAAGATAATGGGTGGCCACCTCAGAATGGAACACAAGAAAAGGAGCCATGTGACTGTTGTGATAACCCAGGTGCTGGTAACACATTGGTGCTGAACCTGGATCGGAATAGTGAGGACAAGGTTGGAATCTGCAGGCATGCGAATGGTCAACGGGAAATTCCTGGAATTGAATGAGGCAAATTTCTCTGGAGCCATAAGCAGAGTGGAGGAAAGATGAAATAATGTTGAGGTTTCTAGTTTCTACATGGGTCAGGAATTAATTAGTGTGTTTGGTTGAAGGGGTTAGGTAGACCTGGGTTCAAATCATGTCTCCCATTTTTGAATGTTACTCAGCTTATCATCCCAAGTTCCTCCTATTTAAAAATGAGACAAGGGTCTTATATGCATTTTGCTAAATGGATGGTGATGTTGTTATAGAATTAAAAATATAAAAGGGGGCGGGCCCGGTGTGGTGGCGCAAGTGGTTAAGGTCCTCACCTTGAACGCCCGGGATCCCATATGGGCGCTGGTTCTATCCCAGCAGCCACGCTTCCCTTGCAGCTCCCTGCCTGTGGCCTGGGAAAGCAGTTGAGGATGGCCCAAAGCTTTGGGACCCTGCACCCGCGTGGGAGACCTGGAAGAGGCTCCTGGCTTCAGATTGGCATAGCATCGGCCGTTGAGCTCACTTGGGGAGTGAATCATCGGATGGAAGATCTTCCTCTCTGTCTGTCCTCTCTGTATATCTGCCTTTCCAATAAAAAAATAATAAAAATAAATCTTTAAAAAAATAAAAAATATATAGAAGGGGGAGGATACCTGGACTAGCAGTTCAGAGGCCCATGTCCTGTGTCAGTGTGGTGTTGATTCTTGGCTGTAGTTCTGAATTCTAGATTACTCCAATGCAGATGCAAATAGGTGGTAGGCACTGGCTCAGGTTGCTGGGTCTCCTGTTTGGTACCCATGTGGGAGACTTAAGTTGAGGTTCCTAATCCTAGTTGTGGCTCCAGCCAAGTCCTGGCTGTTGTAGGTGTTTGGGGAGTGAACAAATGGATTGGAGCCCTTTGTCTCTCTTTCTCTGACTCTTTATCTTTCAAGTAAATGAAAACATCTTTTAACATAGAAGGAAGGGTGGGTTCGGGGTCATAGACAATAAATATTTATTACAAAAACATTGTATATTTTTCACTGTATGGCAGTTTCTGTCTTTTAGCCTTTGCAACAGTCCTGTGAGACAGCAGAAAATACCAAATGAAGAGGCTAAATTTTGACCAAGAGCACATACAAGAGTTGAGATTTGAATCTAAGCTGGTAGGAATTCTGGTTTCTGAATCTGAGCTTAATCAGCACGCTTTACAACTTTCCAAATATCTTTTCATTTAAATATGCCTATGGTAGGCCTAAACTGAAAAACAAAGCTTCCCAGACAGTGCCTTACTCTGTGTGATAACCCTTTTACTTCTGTTCTCTTGTTTTGTTTGTTTAAAAAGCAATGCTTAGTGCAGCCTATTGAGTGTATGAACTTTTCATGGGTCATGATGATCCACATTTTGAGAAACATCGTCTAAGAACTAGAACATTAGAAAAAGGTATCTATCTATCTATCTATCTATCTATCTATCTATCTATCTATCTATCTATCTCTTTAGATTGGAAAGGAAGATTTACAGAAAGAGGAAAGACAGAAAGAAAGATCTTCCACCCATTGATTCACTCCCCAACTGGTTGCAAGGGCTGGAGTTGAGCTGATTCAAAGCCAAAAGCCTCTTCCAAGTCTCCCCCATAAGTGCAGGGTCCCAAGGCTTTGGGCCGTCCTCTACTGCTTCTGCTTTCCCAGGCCCCAAGCCGGGAGCTGGATGGGAAGTGGAGCAGCTGGGACACAAACCTCATCTATATGGGATCCCAGCACATGCAAGGTGATGGTTTATCCACTAGGCTATTATGCTGGGCCCTTAGAAAAAGGTTTTCTGCAGCTTCCATTATAGGGTGGCTCAGCATGAATTTGCTGTTGGTTTATAAAGGATTCTTTTAATTGTGCTTGTCCATGGAAGAACCTACTTCTCCAGCTGCTCAGCTGGATGAAACCACTTTACCCTTGGACTCTTTTCTGGCTGAGAAAAGAATGGAAAAGACGGTTGTCACAGAAGACGTGGACAAGTGGAGTCCTTCTGGTCCAAGTTCTCTCACTAATCCCCCTCTTCTATAAATTGCAGTATTTAGCTAATCCTCTCCCAGCTGTTTGTGGGTCAGCCTTCCCACATGCCCCAGTCAGAGCATGCTTGCCTCTGCAGCATCAAGCACAGTGCCTGGAACCCAGGAGTGACTCAGTATGTGTCAAGTGGCGGGGCTTTGCCAGCTGGGTCTGCCTGCCACTTCTAGAGTGCATACTCTGTCTGCCAAGCCAACAGCCAGATGGTGGGCATCTGGCAGCTTGCAAGAAAGGACAAGTCTAGATCTGCTCTGTTGTCTTGGGGCCTTGTTGGGTTTATGTGGAAAGGATTGTCTGCAGACTTGAGATTGTAGTGTAGTTCTCTTCTCCTAAATGTGGTCTGGGAAACTGAATATGAGAAATATCAATGTCCCGACCGGACACGATGAAAAAAAAAAAAAAAACAGCCTTGAGATGCATGGGATCTTGAGAAAGAGGGTTAATGCTGAATATGATTAATAAATCCCAATGCCTCTGAAGACAGTGATTTCTAGGGGAAGGAGAAAAAAGGAACATCTTATATCTTATAAATTATAGTAATTATACCCAAAGTATATATTTCTTATCCACGGAAAAGATTATAGAGTTGGAGTGAAAATTCACACACAGGTACACACACACACACACACATACATATAAACTCACATATAAATATAAGTATACACATATATATATGTAGAAGTTTTATCCTTATTTACAAAGAAAGAAGCTAAAACCCTTTAAGACCTCATGCTAGTTAAAATCTTTGGGGAGGTTGAATTCAGCATAAGAGTGAAATAGGAGAAGTTGGGGGTGCATTTCTAAAACATAATGCATTAAGTAAGAGTGATGAAAAGAAATAAGTTCTGCTTCAATACTTAAATACTTCCTTAAAAAAAAAACTTTTTACCTGAAGGTGAGCACATGTAATACTCAAATAGCACAAGAAAAAACAGGTCTAGCTTGCAACCTGAGAAATCTAAGATAGTTATAGGAATGTGTTTTTGTTAAAAACACATTGCAAAATCAACACAGGCAAATGAGAATCTTATTTCTATCAACGGAGAGATTAGGATAGTTTCCTTGCTAATGCAGGCTGGGGGTTGTATGTTCCTGCTGGACATAGACAGTAGGCCAACCAGCAGTCAGCTGCTTGCTTCTCCCCATTCATATGTGTCTTTACAAATATTCGTGGGGATTTCTGGAACCATGAAAGCTTCTCCACTGTAAAACCATCAACATGCTGACAAACCTTTAGGATGACTATGACCATAGTTTGTAAAAGTTCATTTAAAATGAGAGCCACTTTGCCGGCTCCTGTAGGTTTCCTGTTGTTGTTGTTGTTTCTCAGGAAGAACCATACAAAACAAGCATCTATGAGGCTCACAAAGGTGAAATATCTCAAATTTTGTATGGATGAATTGATAGATCCAGTTTTGTTTAGATTATCGTATCTTTTCTTTCCAGCAATTGGGAGCAGCAGCTTCAGCCCAAGACCAGCTCCTCAGTTCTCTCCACCACAGCTCTATCCATCCAAGTAAGATACCTTTCCTCTCAGTAAAAAACTTTTTTCAGTAGACTTACACTTTATTTCAAGTTGTGTCTGTGCCCACATCCAACATCTTGATAGAAATCAAAGTACATTTCATGGAGATTGATATAGATTTATGCACATTTATTTGGGGCATCATCAAATAGCAACCCTGACATAGTTCAGTGTCTATTGTGTTTGGAGGTTTCACTTTAAGATATAATCTTTAACTGCATTTGTGATGTGGTTGTTAATTGGTGACCTTGCATGTTTCCATCTAATGCATGGGCTTTCTATTTTCTGTCATTTCTGACAAATAGCAGGCCATACCCACATATTCTCCCTACCCCTTCCTCACAAACTATGGCTGCATATGGGCAAACACAGTTTACCACAGGAATGCAACAAGCTACAGCCTACGCCACATACCCACAACCAGGACAGCCGTACGGAATTTCCTCCTATGGTGAGTAATCCTGCTGTTCTGAGTTGTGTTAACTACAGCGGTGTGTATAGTTTTTGAGTGGTACTTGAAGTCTGTCAATCTTGGTCCACTTTAGAAAGTGTTGTTGCCTTTCATGTCTAAATCCTTGATGTGATTGTTTCTAATGAGCATTGTGAGAACAGTGGCTCCTTATCTTGAGGTCAGAGTGGTGAACAGGTTGCATGGTTTATATGCCCTCTTGCTCTCAGCTTTCACCATTTATATCTCAGCTCTGGATTTGCCATTTGAGCAGCTGGCTCTGGAATTTAAAGTATTTTTGGTGCATATTTGTGATAAAACTTCTGACACTGAAGTCTTTTGGGGTACAGATCCATTTCCTATATATCAGATGTCCAGCTATGATTCAGGAAGTACAACTGGTATTTAGCAAACTCTTGCTCTAGATTCAAGGGTGGTAGTGTTATTGAATTTCACCATTATCAACCATTAAGAAAAGTGATCTATATATCAGCACCTGGCCTGAATTTTGAAGAGGTGAAATTAGGAAACAGTTAATGCTCCTTTTACCGTTTGTTCCTTCCCACCTGGTGATTGTCTTTATCTTTGTGTGATTTAACTTGGTTGTTAAATCAATACCTGTAAATTAAAAATAAAGCCAGAATAATGCCCAAGTTTAACCAAAGAAACCCTAGAATTTCAAAAGCTTTCCTTCAGTTTAATTGCAATTGTAGTTTTAAACAAATGTAACTAAAAGAAATAAGTGAATTATTGATTTTATAAAGACCAATATGAAACAATTTCTCAAAAAAAATTACATGGAAGTTTGGGAGGGAGGGATTGGTTGAATAAGTAATTCTGTGTCTATTGCATAGGACTAATATTTTTGTAATCATTAGTCCAATTATATCAGTATTGTTTTATGTTACTCTTTTCTGTAATAAATTCTGAAGGAAAAACTAAGGCTCATTAAGCATTTGATCAATAATTGGAAGATAATAATTTTATTCCTTTTAATTATTTGCATACAAAATTGATCACATATAGATGTTTTACAAAATATATAGATGTAGCAATACCAATTATGTTTAACTTCAGCCTTTCTGATATTATCCTAAAATGATCAGAATTGAAGGTCATTTTGTTAGGTGTTCTGAAAACAGACTTCAGAAACAGTCTTAGAATGGACTTTGTAAAATTATCTTTAACTTCCCTAACTTTTATTCATACTTTCTCAATAAAATTCTTAGCAGATTGCATTTATCTACCATTCACTTTTAACCTATTCATGGGACAAGAAAAGAAATATGTGATTTGAATTACATAGCTTCCATCCTGTGACATGAGTCAAGGAAGTTTCCAATTTATATTCTCAAAGAGGGCTTGTAAGTTGGTTATTTGAAATGTACATGTCTCCCAGCACACCCATTCCCTAAGTAGCTAAGCCTATGGAAGATGCTGTAGGAAGGGCTGCTCCTGTCAGTGTCTTGGCTCCCAGCCACACACTTGATTCTGCTGCTTTTCTCTTCCACTTTCAGCTGTGGCGGGGCCTGGATTTCCTCCTTTGGTAATTTCTGAGCTGTGAAGCAGGAACTCTTCCTTGATCAAGCCATTCATGGATGGCCTTGTCTGAAATAGCAGTTCCAGAAAGATGGGATGAGCAGAAGGTCTTAGCATAAAATCAGAACAGCAGAGACAGAATAGGGATTTAATGTGAGAGGCTGGGATTGGGAGGTGGCAACAAGAAGGTCAGTGTTAACGAAGGTCAGTGTTAAGGACATGGTTTCCAGAGCTTTCCACATCAGTAAGTCTACAGGGAAGAATTCCCAGTTCTTAACACTTTTCTGATCATTCCCTGTCTTGTTTCTGGGAACCCTGAGTATAAGAAGATGAACCCCAAGTTTGTGACTCAGAAGTTTCACTTTTCTTGGGTTAGTGTGTTGAAAATATAGTAGCCTCTCTTCCTTTGCTTGTTCAGAAGGGATAACATATAGTTTGATATGTTTGCTGCTGATAACCAAATTATCTTCAAAGACTAGGCCCCAGACTTAGGCCCTGTAAGAAAGAGTTAGACTTCTTTCTTTTTTACAATGAACATAATTAATCGGGGTAGGAAGAAATTTCCTTTCTTTGCTGGATCTGCTTACAATCTAGTCCAGTAGAATCAGTTTGTCATCTTATAGAAAGAAGCCATGGAGACAAGTGTGGCTACAGATGTTTTCTGCTTTTCCTAGTTATTATCACAAAGATTTTCTTGCTGAATCTCCAGGGTAAAAACGAATGGCACAGGAGAAGGCTGAGAAAAGATCAGTGTCAGAATAGCCTCAAATAGAAAGAGAAGAGGGGAAATCCCTTGAGGCATAGTCTGGAAAGAAAGGGAGTTTCTAGAGCCATCAAGTCAGCTGTCATGAGCAGATGTGTTCCTGGGAATGGTTTATATGTGTGGGTGCCTCACTGGTTTGCATTTGCCTGTATGAGAAAAAAATCACATTTTAAAAACGTCAAGGTTGTATTTCAACTTCAATGTTAAGGTCATTATGAAGCTACTTAGAGATTCCCCAGGATTTAAGAGTAGCCTGTCTTAGCCAAGAATCAGATCCTTCCACTGCCACAGGACAATAACCTAACTTCATTCTACTGGTGAAATTCCCCTAAAATGGAAATACATGGTAAGACTACTGTGTATTCTAGATCCTGTTGATATCATTTATCGCAAGTGCAAAGAAAAATTACTCCAAAATGTGACTTCCCTTGGCAGAAGTTTCCTCTCCTCCTTCTGTGGGAATTAAAGACATTTGCAAACTTTCAAGACTGTCTTTAATTACGATCCAGAGTTGAGCCCCTTGCCCTGGAGCTGCCAAATGCATGTCCTGGGCTTGGGAAAGTGTCTGGGAGCCACACATTAGTTTTCTATTTCCATATGATGAAAAACATGATGTACTTTAGAGAATATTCTAAGGAGTTATATGTGAATCTTTAAGCTAAAAAGGATATAAAGAAAAACCAGCTATTTACAACTTACTATGCTGTTTTACAGGATTCGGTTCTTTAATGCTCTGCTTACTTTCTGGAAGGATCTAGATATTCAGAAAGTGTCTTCAAATGTTGCTTAGTTCTGTGCCCAGTATTGTTTATTTTGACTTCAAAATGCACTGTGTGTTCAAACCAGCTTTGTGGTGGAAAGAATAAGGGAGAAAGAGCATTGTAAGCCTATGGGCTCTAATCAATCTTTGGGAAAAGGTGATCTTAATTTGGATACTAGTAGGAGTAGCTTCACTAACATCTAATTATGGCCATGACTTTGCTGCAGAGATCTTCAAATTTTGCAGCAGAACCAAAGGAAATACGCAAGTGCTTTATCACTGGAATTCTGTTTTCTAGAAATCTGGGTGCAGACAATCAAAGAGAAAATGCAAACAGGCATTCAGATCGGTAATGAGCTGGGTAGTTTCACAATTTGAAATTGTAATTTGTAATGTTTTATTAAATATATACGTCATTTATAAGGGAGGTAAGATTGGGAAGCTTTGTGATGAAACAGTGGTGAGAGTATGTGTCTGTCTATTTTGCCAGCTTCTGGAAATGAACAGATAGATAAGCTGTCACTAACTGATTTAGGTGCATTGTGGGCAGGCATCAAGACCGAAGGTGGACTGTCCCAGTCACAGTCACCTGGACAGACTGGATTTCTCAGCTATGGCACAAGCTTCGGGACCCCTCAACCTGGACAGGCACCGTACAGCTACCAGATGCAAGGTATGCACACTTCTTGCCGTTACTATTTTCCTGCACTCCACAGGCTGCCCATTATTTTTCAAGTAGAATCACCTGTTCTGTGAAGTAGTGGATGATGAAAGTAAGTGGATTGGAAACATGATACTCACTTCTCATTTACTCTTCTTTTTATCTAATCTCTGGCCTAAAAATCCATACTTATAGCATTGATGGCTTAAGCTGAAAGAGCTATGTGGTTTTCAAAAACGTTCTAAAGTTGTTTTTGTGAAACTGAAGTTTTGTGTCTTCCACTACTCAAAAAGAATGAGACAGTCGACCACAGAGATGGTTCTGATGCGGTGTTAATGCTGAACACTGTTGCACTTGGGCTGTAGTTTCTTTATTTTTATGATGGGGTAGGGATGGAAGTGATTGTGAGCTGAAAATAGAACAGGTGAGGTGTGTTGACTTCATAATCTAACAAACACCAATAGATTAAACTCATAGCAATCCAATGATTTGAATCCTCAAGAAAATGCCTCCTAGGTCCATTCCATGGCTTCTGATTTTACAGCTACAGACATAAATGCAAGCCAACTGGAACTACAGCTGATGTTTTCAGGAAGAGAGACATTACTTAGAATTAGTAGGTTTTTGCCATTTCACAGAATTTAATAACCCCTGATATCTTTCAACCTCAAATCAGTGTAATGATTATATTCAGCCTTCTAAAAGTGTTATGCCAGTTTCATGAAAGCCCTGATTACCACTTTTGGGTTAGAGGGCCTCTTTAAATACATACATATACATATTTATAGATACATATTTTTTTTCTTGAAAGGCTGAGTTACATAGTGTAAGGTGGAGAAACAGGGAAAGAGAGATCTACCATCTGCTGGTTCATGCTGTAATGGCTGTAAAGGCAATGGCTGTGCCAGGCCAAAGCCAAGAGCCTGGAACTTTTTCTGGAATCCCACGTGGGTCCAGAGGCCTAAACACTTGGGCCATTCTCTGCTGTTTTCCCAGACACATTAGCAGGGAAGTGGATAGAAAGCAGAAGAGTGGGTTTTTTCTCTTTTCCTGTCTTTCATGTTATTTGTCATTTAGTCAATACTATATTCACTGCCAATAAATTATAAAATATAGAAAAGCAAAAGTAATTATGATCATATATACTCCAAATGTATTATAAATAAACAGTACTGTTTCATACAGTGTAACATACAAGCTATTTTCCGTAAAAATATATTGTACACATCTTTAGCTTTTTTGCAGCATCGTTTCAATGACTGCATGGTACATTGTATTTACATACATTCTATGTACTACTACTGTACATCAAAAACAATGTAGCACACGTGTTATCCACATCTTTGTTTCCTTTGGATAATTTTAAGTGTGGAATTTCTAGGAAGGTGCCTTTCATTAAGTCAGCATTTTCATGTCTACACAAATGAAAGTTATATATTAGAGTACGCATATTGGGTGCTATCTTATTTTGAAAAAAATGTCATTTTTATAGATATTATTGCTGTTTTCAAACACATTTTTAAATGCTAAGAGGTCAAAATATTTTCCTTTGATGATGGTATTTACTTGCATTATATTATTTCTTATATTAAGGTTCTTAACCTTTTAGTACTAGTAAATAAATATATTTTTAGTTTGTCATTTAAAGGTTTTTCATTTATACAACACATAATAGATTCACAGTAAAAGATCCATTAACATTTTTGTTAAAGGTAGTCATTTGATTTTGTTTGAAAGATAAACATGAATACAGAGGGAGAGAGAGAGACAGAAACACACAAAGAAACAAATGAGCAAACAAATCTTCCACCCATTGGTTGACTCCCCAAATGCCAGGGCTGAGCCAAGTGAAGCCACAGGCCTGGAGCTTCATCCAGGTTTCTGATGTGGGTGACTGGGATCCAACCACCAGAACTATCACTACCGCCTTCCAAGGTGCACACTGGCAGGAACTTGTACTTGGGAGAAGAGTCAGGAACTTGAACCCAGGCTCTCTGACATGGAATGCAGTGTCTTGAATGCTACGCCAAACATCCTGCCTTCCATTAACCTCCAATATTTGGTTATGCCTTGGGTATAACAAGGCTCAAGTCATCAAGTTTTTTATATACTTGGTGGCTACAAAATAAAAAACATCTCATAATAGACAGCATTTCTTGTTAGCAGGATGTTACTTATATGCTCCATTCCAAAACTTCTGAGCTGTTTTGGAAAAGAACTGGATTTCTACACATGTTGAATATCAATTGAGTAAAGAGGTAAAAAGAGCAAGAAATGAAGGAGAGGCTTCATTAATGTGTTTAACAGTTCATGGTTCTGGTAATGAAATGGGTTGTAAGGCAGACAAGGTCGGCTTGCTCATAATTGAGAGAAAAAATACATTAAGATAGCTGCAGATTCCTTCAGGAGCTGAGAGAAATAAACATAGTGCCACAACGGGCTCTGCTGTCCCCTGCGTGTTCAGAATTCTTTACGGAGAAGCAGATTGTGCATGTGAGCAGGGGGCAGATGACGAGGGCTCCCTGGAGCTGTACTGCCTTGAGTGGCAGGAGCAAAGTACACAAGTGAAGACCTTGCATTTCCAGATATTGATAGTCAGGAGTAAGCTTCATGTTTGTTAAATCAAATAGTAAAGCTAAACGGGGAGAGATACGTTCTCTACCTGCATGGTCCTTTTTGTTTTTGTTCTTTTGGTGTAATGTACAGATACCCTATTTTACTCAGTTGTCCGTCTTTGTTAGACCTGGAGTGGGGACGAGCCCTGGATCTCAGACACTTTGAGAAATGCCTCACTTGAGAGTTACTTATCTTTTGGTCTTTGCAGTTGTAACAGTGTGCAAGTAGACTAACCAGTTACAAGTAGACTAACCAGTTACAAGTAGACTAACCAGTTAGTGGAATGCAGTTCAGGGATAACATGTGGGAAAGCAGTAAAGAAGGAAGAGAAAAGGGATATAATCTGGAGGGGTTAGGTCTTTATTTTTGACAAATAAGGACAAGTGCAGCACCAAAAAGGAGTCATTTTGCTACTTTATATATTTCACTGTGTCTGGGCTTACAGAATATTGGAATTAAAACTTATTTTATGTCTCTGTGCATGCTGTAGCTTAATGGTCCTTCCAGAACTTATTTTCCATAACTGAGGTATTATTTTGTATGGGTATTTCTATAATGAGATGTCACTCAATTTTATATTATCAAATGAAGTTATACTCCATTTGTCACATCAGTTAATAATGTCTTATTAACTTGGTATTTAACCTGCCAAAACATTAATGGATCATGGTATGTAGTATGACAGAATTTATATGGCCAGATTTGCATGTATAATTTAGTTTTGATTAGTATGCATTTTAGTGTCTTAAAAGCCATAAGTTAATTAATATTTTCCAATGTTTTTATGTACTTATCTGTGAGAGTTTATTGATCTTGGAAAATGTTTTTAATACATGCCCTTCTAATACAATAATTTGTAAATATCTAAAATTATTTTGAGAGTTTCCCAAATCATAATCTCATGAATAACAGTGATTTTTACCTACATCAGTTTCATTTTGTTAAAATTTAATAAAAATTATTAAAAGTTAAGGATCTATCCCTGGATAGTATTCCTAAGAATCTGTTACAAGAGTATACTTTAGTTATTTGAGGATATCTTTGCCTAATGTTTTTTTCTAGGCCAATCCCTTCAACCTTTAACATATAAGGTATAATGATTACTTATTCACAGTGGTAGCTGCTATAATTTAGTAACTGAAGGCTTTCTTAGGAATGGAAAAGACAGCCAAGCAATTCTAGTGAGATATGTGTGCTCCCATTCAGTGTTAAGCCGTTTCATTGAAAGGAAATGTGTGCCAATCATCTCTTTAGTCCCAGTCCCAAAGTCTGAGAAAACCAAAGATGGTGTGAAATCATGTTGCATGTATAGGTGTTCAGGGGCAGGGTTCAGACTGCGTGTGCGTGATTCTCCAGTTGATATCTGTGGACTTTCAATCTCTTCATGTCTCTATTTGCACATCTTCAGTGTGAAGATGATGTCGTGTGTAATGATATTTAACCTAGAATATCTATCTAAATCACACATCATTACATCACACTGCACGTTGTAAGAACTCTGTGGCTGTTTTCATTTTTATCACACTCACTGCAGCAGGATTGTGGTTCCTGTTATTTTAGTTGCTATTATGGTTCAGCTTTCTGGAATAGCTCCAGATAAGGAGGTATTACCTACATGCTCACTCACTCTGTGGCACTTAGCAAACAGGAGAAGAGATATAAATGTCTGAATATGTATATGCATATATGAAGTATGATTAAATTAAATATGTATGACCATATGTATATATATATATATTATAATTTTAAAGACAATTTAAAATAGCTTTTGACCATCAAAGAGAATGCCAAGAACCCAATAATGAGATAAGCTAGATCCGCTGTCATGGAAGGAGAATTACTGCCATCCAAAAGCACGCTTTGAGCAAAATGACAGGAAGCAGTCAGGAGCTCCAAGAAGAAAATCTAAGCAGAAAAAGCCATGCTGGTGACAGTGGTGACAGAAAATGAAAGTGCCAAAAAGCACAGAAGAGATATGGAGTAGGAAATACACTCAGCTTTCTGGGGAGAAATGGAATCCAGCAAGTTTTTATGTCTTGGTAATACCTATAATCACATCTCTGCATTGATTGTAAGCAGTGATTGGAAGGAGAGAAGGCAACAGCCACTTGAATACCAGATTGTCCAGCTTAAGAGGTTGGGAAGAAGATGGGGGCGTGAGTATCCCCTGATGCACACCCAGCAAACAGAGTCACAGCAGATATTCACTGGGCACTTTTAGTATCGTGAGCTAGCCCCTTTTTAATAATTTTAGTGCCTTTTAAAAAATTATTTATTTACTTAAGAGGCAGAAAAGACAGAAATGGAGGTCTTCCTTCTGCTGGTTTACTCTCCTAATGGCTGCAGTGGCCAGAGCTGGGCTGATCCTAAGCCAGGAGCTGGGAGCTCCTCCAAGC